TTAAATTGATTCTCTAAGTCTAATACTAAAAAAGTTACACCAATAATTATACTTTATAACTCTAACTAAGTGCAATTTTAAACAATTTTTTTACACATTAAGAAACTAAGTCTCCCAAAAGAATTAAATTGATTAGTCATATATTAAGACGTTATTCTATTCTGAAACGTGTCTAAATATTAATGAGGGCCACTGTATAGATGAATATAATCGAAAACTCCATGTCAGGCAAAGAATCTTGCATCTTCCTTCCATAGCATCAAACTTCTCTCATAAAAGCTTGTCCATATGACCGATTAATGCATACAGCAAGTGTGAAAACATGATTCTCATTGACGAGATACAGGAACGCCTAAACACTTCCGATATACATAATTAACACTGGAATTTTATTCTAAATCAAGAATTCGTCGATGCAATTAAAAAAAGAAGCTGAATTTCATAAAAGCTAAAACGAAGAATAGAATAGAAGTAGAGAAAATTACATGTTAGATGAAATTTGAATATTTCACTGGACTTATTTGTCATTGGAAATCGTTGCGTGCGTAACTTGGATGGAAGTGGACTATATGGAAAGATTATGTATATGAAAGCTTCACCATCGATCTGGCAACTGTAACAAGTATAATATAGACTATAGACGATCAACTAAATAACACGGTTCCACCTAAAACTCTGTTTCCATCTATCCTATCATTAAAGTTCTCTAGTCAACCCTAAGCGAACGATACCGTATGTACAGATATTTTCTCTGTCTCCTTAACGCGGGGGTGAGTAACCCCTTTCCTCGTTGTGCAAATACCAGTTTCATAGTTTCGATAGGAATATAAAGGCGACGATCGCTGTGTTCAACCCTCTGAAAAACGTAGAACGAAACGATGGTTCTTTGAAAAATCGTGTGGACTTGAACCATGCGATCTGGTCGCTTATTAAATTAGAATAAGAACTCGTACGCGTTTGTAAAATCCAGCAACAGTCGGTCCAGCGTTGAAAGGATTTATATTGATATATCGAATAGAGGAAATGCTGAACTCTGCGAGTCGATTGTTACGCGTACAACTAACTGATTTGCCTAGTATGTGTTCACGTGTGTGGGTGTAGAAATAGTTTACGCAACGTTAAAAATTCTATATAGAATTTGCTCGTTGCTGAGAGAAATTGATCAGTGTCGTATTACGTGTTCTCTTTTCTCCCCATACATGAATATCGTGCTGCGCGCGTACGTCGCGCTTGAAGCACCTTTCTCTTTTTAATAAACGCTTATTACAGTAGAGGAAACGTTTTCACACGTTGCGTCGTGCAACGGGTCAGGTCGGAGAGCTGCGCGTATTCGAGGGTCCGCGGAGCTCGCCCGATCTGAGATTAAGTCTGCCACCGTCAGACGCCGAGCTTTCGGAGTAATCAAAGTTTTTTCGAGACATATTTCATCGAAACTACCTGACACACGCGTTTCGGGTCACACATTTAAGGAAGGCCACATTGAACTAGTCTAAGAAGTTACCGTCTAGCGTTCAGAACAATGTTGGTAAAATTTCGCCTATGATATAATCTAGCCTATGACACATACGCAACGATTAATAGTTAAGAGATTCTTGCGAACGTTCCTTTTTTCTCGTTTTATATATATATATATATATATATTCTTTTTTTTTCGTTTTTTTTTTCCTGTTTTTCTTTGCTTTATGATACGTCCGGCTAATCTTCGCCTTTGTTAGTTTTTCCTCTACGAGTATCGGATCCTCGGATTAATGTAAATTAATTATCTTTGGCATTAGAAAATATGCAAAACCAACGTATCCAAAGATAAAAGTGGCGACGAGTCAGGCTTAATTATCGCCGGTTCCGTCGTTAACGAAGACAAGCGAAATTACTTTGAAAGTATACGCGTAAAACGTGATATTACGATAAAACGATTGGATCACAAGTGTTGGATATGAGAACTGACACTCTCAAAAAGACTGTACTATAATAGGAATAAAAGTATGTACAGTAAAAAACTATGGAGTCGTTATTAACTTGTAAAAAGTAGATACGCATACGATTTCCCTAATTTTCGTCACGGGTACACGCATATAGTATTTCGTACGATAATTCGAAAGTTTCGCAATTAACATGGGCGGCATTGTTTTGTTTCAGCGATAAAATTATGATAAATGCCAGCAAAAGCTTTTCGTTTCATTAGTAACGTATAGCGAGACACGCATTTCTTTCTCCTTGTTTAAGTAAAAAGCTGCTGGGCTGAGTTTGTGTTGTTGCACGAAATGGAAAAGCGGCTCTCGAAATCTTGCTAGGTACGCTGCGAATAATCGCACGCGTCGCTCGCTACCTGACTTTCATTACGTTTTATCACAAGAACTGGATCTTTAGACGTCTCTACGACCTTTTTCTCTACGTCCGAGTCGTACAATAGAGTGGCTTGAAGTGCGTTATACATACCGGTTCGTGCGTATCGGGAAGCCTTCGTCAGTTCGTGGACACTGGTAGCCAACGTTAATATATCTGCAAACGCAAAACCGTTCGAGTTAAAATCGTGCGTTTTTAAATATCGAATTGAAAGTATAAAAACTAAGGAGGTCTAAAAAACCGAAGATTGAAACGGGTTTTCGAAAATATTCTGAATTCCTTTCCTGTTCCCACCTGATTTTTTTGGGTCTATTTAATAAAAACGTACCATTGTCGTTATACACCAGCATGCACGGTGGATTCTCTTTCTGGCGTTTAGTAGCGTTCGCGATTTCCCGTTTCCGGCATTCTTGAACAAACTTTATAGCTTCCAGCCAATATTCCATAGCTTTGTGTACGCGTTGATTCATCGTAGAGCCGCGCAAACGTTCCATCTATTAAATTAATATCATCGTTAAAATATTGAAACACGTTCAAGTGTTTTCCAGTTATAAAGACTTAACGATGTATTGGCTATACAGTCAATCCCAAAAGTTTATGTACCTTAGAAAAACGGATATCCTATACTTAAAAAGAAATCAGACGGAGGAAGAATAATGCTAATAATAAATAGCTACGTGCTAAAAAGTATAGAAGAAAATATCCAATTACGTATTGACGCTGACGAACAATTTTTTTTTTTTCAAAATTTCAAAGAATGCTTCAAATAAAAGTTGTTTTCCTTCTAATTTCCATATTTAACGAGTTACGTATCATTATTTGGCATTTTATTGATGTTGACAAAATCCGACCATCCCAGCGTCGAAATGGCGAACTTTTGACAAAAAATTTCGTTTTTCTTCAATAACTCCTAAACCGTTGGTTCTACGGGAAAATTGCATACGACCTTTCTTGTAGAGGACGACGAGATCTACAATTTCTGTACAAAAGTTTTTTGCTAGCATTAATATTTAACGAGTTATTGACGAAAAACGAGAAAACAGTTTTTGCAAATTACTCGTAAACTATTGACGCTAGCAAGAAACTTTTATATAGAAATTGTAGATCTCATCGTCCTCTACAAGAAAGATCTTATACAATTTTTCCGTAAGTCCAGCGGTTTGGGAGTTATTGGCCAAAAACGAAAATTTCGCGAAATCTGAAGGGGTACTC